GTGAGGTCTTACCTGAGAGCACCATCCCTTTTCCCAGTTACTGGCTGGTCAGAGTCTCCTGGCCAGCTGGTCTTGCTGCCTGGAGCTGCTGATTCCCCTCCAGCCCTTCCTCCTGCCTGGCCACAGCCACAGCAGATCACAGCTTTTCCTGTCCTGCTGCACCCTGAGACCGTGGAAACCCACAGCTGCCAAGCTTTGATGTAGAAAAAATTAAAAGTAACAAGGGAAAGGATGAAGCTGCTGAAAGCATCTGGTTTTGCTGCATGAAGGCACAGGTCAGCCATGCTCTGCTTTTGCAGATGTGTGGGGAGCAGCCCTTCCTCTGCCAACATTTTGGCAGCCCCCCATCCTCAGGGGTTGCATGACTCTTTGCCAGCTTTTATGTGTTCATGCTGTAAGAACATGCATTGCTAATAGACCCTGGGTGCTGAGCAGCTCATGTGCAGACTGTTATCTTCCTTTCAACTGGAAGCTGAGCTCTGTTGCTCTGCTAACCAGCACAGCAGCTGAGTGAACACAACATAATGTCCATGAATTATTGCAGGCAACGCCCACGTCCTCCCTAGTGGTGTGTGGCAGGGTCATCTGCTCTTCACTGTTCTAGTCTACCTGGGAAATCTCTTTCACTGTCTATTTTTGTCTGGTATTTTCACTTTAAATCCAGTGCAGTGGTGACACGTTGGTTATTTGACCATAACTCAGTGTGTAAAACCAGCTGTAACCAGTTACATTGCTTTCTGCATGGCCTTGAGTGCTGAAGTAAAACTCACCTGACCTGAATGCTTGTTTCTCCAACAACACAAGCTCCAGGTCTTTTGGCTGAGACTTTCTGAGCATTTTGCAGCCCTGGTTCACTGGAGAGCAGCTTTAGTGGTGTAATCCCACAAATGCCTGTGATGCAGCCAGACTTTGGCAGTGGTGGGATGAGAGTGCCAGAGTGCCCATGAGCAGCCCTGTGTTCCCACAGTCCTGGAATGCATGGAGCTCATCAGAGCATCCTCTTGCTGCGCTGGGAGGCCAGAGGCATCACACCCTGGCTCTGGCTCATTAGTTCCTCATGGTGCTACAGATCTGTTCTTTGCAGTAAATTTTCTAATGCTCCTGTCATCCTGGGTATAAAGGTCTTGAAGAAACTTCTCTTACAAGTGATTTTGCATCACCTGATAGCTCTCACCATTAGAAATTTCTCAAACTGAGATTTTATTTACATTGCAAAGCAGGGAGAGCTGCAGTCCCTAGCCTAGAAAAATGTCAGTCTAATAATTTTAATTTTGAAGGTCCTATAAAATCCAGCTCCCACAGCCTCCTTCCAGCTACTGCTGTGTTAAATATCCCTGACTGGAAATCTTGCCCCCAGTTTCAGAAGCAGCTAGCAGGGTTCAGGCATCTTTAACTCACACAGTGACCCCACCTGGGGATTTCTACTGCATCCTCACATTGTCATTGTTGTCATACACACTGTGGAAGTGTCCTGCTTCCTCCATCAGTGCCTGAGGAGCAGGGGATGGACCTAAGCAATGCAAGTGTGTGCCTGCATTTTTCTGCCCTGATGTGGGTGATATTGATTGGTCCATTAATGTAAATGTCTTGGCTGTTGTGTGTTGCTTTCCTTGCTTATTAATCAAAATCCTGCAAAATGAGGGAAAAGCAATTTTTTAGGAAAAAAAATGAAATACCATCAACAGTGACTGATTACAGGCTGCTGGAATGTGATGGGGCTGTCTGCCACCCACCAGGCATGAGGCTCCCCACAATAACTGGGGAAAAAAAATAAAATGCTTTATTTTGACAATTTTGGTCAATGTTTAGATGTTTTCTGTTCAAGCAGTGTTTTGATGGAAGGTTTGCCAAAACAAAATTTGTTTTGTTTGCATCTGACATATTTCAGTCAATTGCAAATGGGGTTTTTTTGGATGTGCAGGTTTTTGTTTTGCTTGGAAAAACAAATTAAAGGAAACAACTTTAATTTGTGGGCACCTTGAAGTTATTTTTGCTACTGCCATTTAGGGAGACCTCTCTGTAGCTAGCAGTGGATGCAAAACACTGAGACATAAACAAAACATTTGGGATGTGAATATTCCCACTGAACCAATTCACAGGTTGGAAATGGAGCTGGTGCTTAGTGCCTTGGTGGATTGAGGGTTTAGCAGTAACAAATAGTACTAAGGAGCAAAAATGATCAATTAAAGATCTCCTAATGAATCAAAGTATCAGCCACTCTGAGTTGAGAAGGGCAGAAGCTGAAAGGCAGATTGGAGAAGGTGTGAAATCTCCCTGTTCAGTGTTTCTGACTGCATGGTAGCCACAGCTCTGTGCTGCTCGTATTTCTTGGTAAAACTGAATAGAAGGGAAATATGTGAGACACTGCTGCTGATCCTGTTTGTTTCTGTTATACAAACAGTGGGGAGAATCCAGATATTTATTTCTTTGCCATACACTGAATTAAAAAAAAAAAAAAAACAAAAAAAAAAACCAAAAATGGATGACTGGAAAAAATTACTCTCTTTTAAATTGATTGTTGTTATTTCAAACCTTGGGAATATTCATTTGTTTTGTGATACAGGTGATGGATTCTGCTGTGCAGGCTGGCAGTGTGTGAGAACATAATGCCTGTAGTAAAGGTGACTAACCCCTGAGAACATCCCACCGATGCCAAGTGGCCCATATGCTGTCATAAACACTTTTTATTCTTTTTTTTTTTTTTCCACACTGATCATCAGAGCCCATTTTGGGTAGAAGATCACATTAGGCTCGTTCATTACCTGCTGTGCTGCTCTGTGCATCTGCAGTGCAGCATCTCTGCTCTGAGCTTTGGACTCATCCCTGCGTGTTTTCTGATATTCCAAATCCTCTGTCACGGGTATACACAGATCTTCTCCTCTGTGTGTCCTGGAGCATTCTGCACCAGAGATAAAAATTATGCTTAAAGGTGCCCAAACTTCTGGGGAATATGGTTGTTGATAGCTGATGTTAGGTTTTATATGTATCATCAAGAGAAATTCCTGTAAATTGATACTTGTAGCAAAACTGTCATTCCTTGTAGCAGAAGAGAAGGAAACTGACTGCAGATGAACTGGCTCTATTCTTATGAATAAATTTAAAATCTAATGAGAACAACAGGTGTGAGACAGTAGTGAAATTTTACAGTATCCCTGCAAACTTTAATCTACACTTTTATTTTTCTTGAAGGTCTGTCCAAAAGCGAAATTTCAGGCCTAGGGCTACTGAAGACTGTCTTTAAAGTTGCTTTGTGATTTTGAGCAATACATCATGTGAGCAGTGATGTTCAGATGATACATTGCACTAATACATCACAGGAGCACTTTTGCTCTTATGATATATTAGTATAATACACTATCAGAACACTATCACTGATATATTACTCAAAAACACAGTTTCTGACCCTCAAGATTCACCCTCATCTCTAGTCTGAATACACTGAAAGCTGTGGATAATGATAAGAATAAGAAATCACATATTCGGTTTCTCTAGGGTAAAGCTGAGGAAAAAAATAGTGTGGTATTTGGAATATTTCATTAACTGAAACATCCTTGTGTTTTCATTTTATTCACTGAGCAAATGTTATTATGGATAGAAGCTAACACAATATAGGTGTGTTTGAATTTTCTTACAAATAGCCTAAGAAAACCTTTTTTGATTTCATATTTCATTATAGACTTAAGCCATGTTTTGAGAATGTTTCCATGAGGTGCAGGCGTTTCAGCTGATTTCTACCTCATCAAATTGAATCAGTTGCAAGCTATCTAAATTCTTTGCAAACCATTTGGTGCTGTTTCTGATTTTCAGTCATTTTTTAAAAGGATTTAGGCACCATCTAAAAAGATCTGAAGGTGCATAAATGTGATCTATCACTCAGATTATTTGCTGCCTCTCCTCACTGAGGTGTTGGGTTTTTTTCCCTGAAGAATTATTCTCAGTTATTGTTTTTCTTTACTAAAGAGTGAAAGACAAAGGAAAAAAGAAAAAAGAATGCATTGCAATGTTGTTAGTAGCTGAACTTACTGCAGAAAAGTATTTTTCCCAGTAGAGTTTGGGTCTTGAGGACCTTCCTTTATGGTATGAACAGTGTCAGAAAAAAAATAAAAGGTAATAGTAATGACAAAACAATAAGGTGCCAAGTCATATATTTGTGTTCTTGCCCATAATTTTGTTTGTATTCCTCAGATCTCATCAGCATTTTTGATAAAAACACATCACCATTCACCTCCTTCCCAAACTGGGTAACCCAAAGCTGCCTGTGCAGCTCAGTGCTCAGCTCTGCTACCCCGTGGGCAATTGCCCTGTGCCAGGAGAGGGACACAGTTCAGGCTCTGCCAAACTGGGCTTATAATCCTTGTGCCTCACAGGTTTTGGGCCACCTGGCACTCTGTCCCTGCAGGTGTGTCCCCAGCATGAGGCTTGTGCCCCACAGGTTTCAGTTTGTTGTGTTTGGGCTGCAGCCTCCAGGGAGGAAAGGAAGCATTAAAGTCTTTTTAACCTTGTGAGAGGCATTGTCCTCTTCTGCCAGCCCTTCTGCCCACGTGCTGTCCATGGCATGGCAGCTGTTCTGTCCCCAGAAGGGAGCCTTGAGCCCAGGCTGCCCACACGAGCTCTCCCCCACATCCCATCTCCAGCACCTTCCTATTTCCCTCTGTTCCAAAGCCACAACACTCAGCTCCAAGGGACATTGTTATTTCAAAGCTGTGGCTAAATATGTCTCTGACTGACAACTATGAATAATTCCACAGAGCCCCTAAACTTCCAGGCATTTCACTCTGAAGCTCATATAATACACCAGGGCTGCTCTCTCATGTTTTTCATCTTTTATATTCTCCAAAGAGTTGAGATACAGTTATGGAACAGGTTAATGTATTTTCCTCTGAATATAATGCTGTGGGAGCCTGTGCACAGTTACTTGTGTGTGTTGAGAATAATGCTGACAGTTCAGAAAAGAAAGTCATGAACTTGATAATCGCCATTATTTTGTTTCACGTTTTCAGCATGTTCATGTCCATGTGCTGCCAAGGAGGGCTGGAGACTTCAGCAGGAATGATGATGTCTACGAGGAGGTAAGATTTACACTCCATCTCTTCTTCAGAGTTGGTTTTGCTGTTAGTAAACTGCTTTAGTGGTCCAGCCCCTCCCATGGATGTAGGGATGGGATCTCTGTGTTTTTATTGCTTGCAAAGATCCTGTGACAGCACCAAAATCTATACTGGGATTTCTTTGTAAGCTCCCTCTCTGTGGGAGGATACAGTTGACACCTTTGGGACTTCAGTCTGTCACTGCACACAGGGTGCATCTCTACAAATAATTGTGGTCTCTTATTTTGAGGGCACAGGGAAAAAGGGTGACCACATGGTCAGCCTGGCATGCAGGGAGGGTGTCCTACACCAGCTGCTCACCTGGGGTGCCAAACCTCCCCCTTCCAGCCAGAGAAAACACAGGCAGCTTGTTACAGCTCAATCACAAACTGCCTTCTGGCCTGATTTTTGTAGGGCTCTGCTCAGCCCTGGACAAATCACATTGTAGCCCCAAAGGTGGAAACTAAAGAGCAACTCTGCATATAAATGGAATATCTGCATGTGTGGAGACTGTGCAGCAGAGCTTGGTTCATGAGCTGTTCCAGTGTGACTGAATCACTGGCTTTTGTTTAAGTGAACAATTGTACTGGCATTAACAAAAAGTTTTCCCCAGTTTGACAGCTGTCATAATGATTCTATGAAAAAATCTCACTATTGTTAAATTTATGGCTTGTTCTTCGTGGGTTTGGTAGGATCCTCTTTCTGAAACATGACATCTCCTTCTCTTCCTGAAAGTAATTAATATAAACTTGTTCAGTGCTACTGCAATACCATCTGCTTGAAAGAGACATCGTGACATTTTCCGCTTTGGTATTTTTTTCTTTGTGGTATCTACATGATGACAAGTCCCCACTCACAAAAAAAAAAATTGGTGGAGTGTTTTAAAGTTTTTCAATTACTTAAATATGCAAAAATGAAGAAGAAAGCATATTAGTGACAGGTTATATGAAGTGTAGTGCCTGAAAACTCCACTAGTAAGGGTAAAAGCCTAATGAGACTGCTGAGCAAGGAGATCCAATGGAAGTAAATGATGGCAATCTTTGCTGGCGTGGTGGTTAAAAGCAGTTGAATGAGACAAAAGTTAGCAGAGTTAAAGGGTTGTCAGGCACTGGAAGAGGCTGTTCAGGGAAGTGGTGGAGTCACCATCCCTGGAGTTATTTAAAGGATGTGAAGACGGGGCTCTCAGGGCCCTGCATTACCGATGGGCTTGGCAGTGCTGGCTTGATGGTTGGATCCAGTGACCTTGCAGGTGTTTTCCACCTAAATGATTGTATGGTTCTGTGATCTTTTCCTTTTCACATGTGTTAAGGGGTTTCAGATGCTGCATCAACCCATCAAATCTCTTTCCATTTCTGTCATATTTACAATTTCATTTGCTTCTTTTTTAACACAATTACTTCTCCCTTGTTATAGCTAAACAGAAACAGGCAAAACTCTGATAAACTAGACTATATATTTAGTGTTGTTAAATGCAAAAGGGTGGCAAATTGGGGAAGAATTTCTTTTTTATTTTGTCATTTCCAATTACAGCAATTGTAGGTGTTGCTTTTAGCAAACAGGAACCATAAATATTTAGACATAGATGTGATAATGCATCTTTTAGCAGAAGAATGTATAGCCTCAGAGTCTAACTAGCTATTCTTGAACACTACAGAGCTAACACACTTTTGTACAGACTGTAGCTGAAGAAAGATTTAATTTTTTTTAGGATGACAGGGAAACAAAAACACATTTGCTGCTATAAAAAGTTTGGTACCGAGTTCTATCACTGTCTGGATTGAGGATGGAGAGACTTAAGAAATTTGCTATCACAGGTGAATAAAGCTATTTTGAAAAATGAAAAAGGGACAAATTATTGAAAATACAGCTGACTTTGGAAATAATTTGGAGCTTATGTCAGTACAGCAAAAACATTTTTATATAATGCATCTCTGTGTGATGTCAGTAAGTCATATCCTTTTGACAAGAAGATACTTTAAAAGATTTAGGAAGATATGTAGATCATGGTGGGGCAACAGGCTGGAATTCGACAAGGGATAAAGTACCATTAGGTGAGATGTGGGTGCTGGAGAGAGCTTTAAATCTATTTTTCATGGAATTTGTACTTTAAAAATCCAAAACCCCTTCATAAACACTTCATTTCCATGTATTTGAGTGATAGATGGAGCTCTAGTTTAGGCAGCAAAGACCACCTTCTAAAATCATCCCATTGGCCTTTTCCTTGTCAAATGTGACATGGAGGCTGATCAAACCCTCTGTGCAATTGTAAAGCACACTGAAGATAAATTGTGCATATTGCAGTGCCTGGGTTAGCTACCACAGCTAAAGGTTTAACAGCAATTGGGAGCAATTTTCACAGGCTCTAGGTCTCAGCTCTGGCTCAACATGTCTTTTGCAAACCCTTTTCTATCTGTAAGTGCCTTTGAGCTCTCCAAGCTCTGCAGTTGTCATCTGTATATGCTCAGCAGATTGCTGATAAATCCCGCTGCTCTTAGTGTCTGACAGTGAAAGGAATGCCCAGATGCTGAGCCATCACTCCTAGGAGCCTTCTAGAACTGAGACAGCCAGAAAGTGCTTGCAGTCTCTGACTGTGTGCTTAATTTCTCCCATTCAGTCTTGGAGTGACCACTCACCTGATGGAAAAGGCAGAAGAAAGCACATCAGGTTGTTCCCTGCTTAGGCTGTTTATTGGGCTCTGAGATCTGGTTTTTGGCTCTGAAGCTCTGACACAGCCCTGTCTAATGCAGTTTTTTAGTGTAAAGAGTATAATTAAGGGAAGGGTGTTTCTTAGCTCTTGTATTTTAATCAGGTATCTGATGGACACAACTGTCTGCTGATTTCTGGATATATTTTTAGATCTGTGGTAGTGGAAAATTAATTGTAGACGGAATAAAACAGGGTCTGACACTTATTTCACAGCACCTTCTCTAAGGCACTCCTTGGTAGAATGTGTCACAACATCTTAGGTTTTTTTACTTCAGTGCATATGAAAGAAGTCACTGTGTGATTTTTCCAAGATACAAAGAGAATCACTAATAGTAAAAAACCATCTGCATTTAATATTTTAGATGTATTTCCTCTACATCTTTGCAGGGCTATTTCTTGGAAGGGTATTTCCTGGGAAGTGTTAGTTATCCACTCTCTGGGCTCACTGTAGTGGAAAGCTAAAGCTATAGTTTATCAGTTCTTACATTTCTCTACAATTATTTGAAGCCTAATCCTGCAAGTGTGCACATGCCAAAGTTAAATTGGTCTTACAGGATTTTTTATAGGATCAGGCTCTTCATCTTTTGCTATTGCTAGATTACTTTTCTCATCTTCATCTTGAGTAGTTCTTATTCATTGATTCTTTATTTCTTGGACAGCAGAACAATAGCAGCTAAATATTAGGAAAACCTGCTCTTAGAATAACTCTTTATACCTCTGTGTTTTCTGTTTGGTTTGAAAGAGATTATATTTCACATTTATTAATCAAGGAACTTAAAAGCCTCTTATGAAGTAGTTGCTTGCTTTGAAGTAGATGAGTTCTTTGCTATTATAAGGGCATGTCACAGTGACTGATAAGAATTTGGTATGAAAGAACATCTTTACTGTAGAGCAGCCCCCAGTGTTGTTGCAGTCAGCACAAGTACTGCAGTTGTTGGAGGTCATCGTGTCCAAGACATTCAAGATTATCCTGAAAAGCCTTGGCACTTCCAGGCATCTGTGGGCAGCCCTCATTCAGTGGGTGTTTGAAAAGTCCATAGCACAGCCTGTCCCTGGTCTCCACTGAGTGGTTAGCCATTACTGCAATATAAATAACATTCATCATCCTTTAGGCTGGCAGGTAATAGCTGTACTGGGCCAGAGACGATGGGGCTCTCTCAGAAAGGAAGACTCAATCAAAACTCTGCACTCCTGTTATGAGTGCTGACCTCAATAAATTAATTTTGAGGCTGACAGACTCAGATGGGTAAGGGCAGCCTGGCCTCTCAGTGAAATCCTGAGCATCCCTGCTGAGGTGAGTTTTGTGGTGCACACCCCTGTTCCTCCCCAAATTCTGTGTTTCCCTTGGTGCCTGCAGCCTCCTGTAACAGATGCAGCTGCCACAGCAATGCACATCCAGGGCTGTGCACACAGGGCAAAGGGTGCCAGCCCCTCACCAGCCTTGCTCTTGTGCCCTCCTTGTTTCACTGCCTGTCTGCAATTCCCATCCAGAACTGGGAGAGCACTGAAAGACTGGAGAGCACTGAAAAAGGGGAAAAGTGTGAGAGAGAGAGGTTAACCCAAACCCCTGTGTCTCCATCCTCCTCTGCCTGCCAGACCTGCATCATGGATCTCTTCTAATGAACCTGAGTGAAACTTCCTACTGCGAGTTCTTCAGTAATTTATGAAATTTTGTAAAAAGCCAGCAAAAGAATTTGCTTCATGCTATCCTCCTTCCCCTCTGGCATTCAGGCAAGCAGTGAGAGACTCACTTAGGAAAAGATACTTTGACTCAGTGATCTCATTCAGCATGTTATGCTAAATCATTTCAGCACGAATACCTATTAGTAATCATTTCCAGTTCCAGGAAGGATGAAGGAGGCATTTTGGCATATGAGTCAAGAACCTGCTGGGCTGTTTCTTCAGGCTGGCAAAACAGGGGAACTGTGGTGAATTCAGAAGTTTAGTCAAACAAGCCTGAAGTTTAATTCTCCCTGAATGGCTTTGACTGTGACATGCCATCACTCCGAGCTGCAGACAGCATCCTGCCTGCTGCTGGGCACTGAGCCTGGCACAGGGCTGGAAACCTGCACAGCTGCACTGAGCTGCTTAAAGGGCTTAAAGGTAAGGAATGAAGTAAAAAGATAAATAAGCCCTCATCCAGGTCTGTGAGACAAAATGGAAAGATGCCCAACAGCTCCTGTGAGCATCAGATTGAACTATTCATGAAAATTAATGGCATGCAGAGCTAATAGACTGTTCCTTGGCCTCAGAATGATATTGTACCTTATGGGAACATA